GAGTCCCGGGATCGAGTCCCGCATCGGGCTCCCTGCTCGGCAGGGAGTCTGCTTCTCCCTCTGACCCTCCCCCTCTCATGCTCTCTCTCTCTCTCCTCTCATTCTCTCTCTCAAATAAATAAATAAAATCTTTAAAAAAAAAAAAAGATTAAAAAAAAAATGAGTTTAGAGTAGGTCCCTGATTCTCAAGAAAGCTACCTTCAATCTCTGAAACTCTAGGAACAGAAGTTAGCACCTAGGAGGAGAGTAGAAAGGGAAGAGTGAGGCAGAAGAGCACCCTGAAGAAGCCAACATTTACGAGGTAAAAACAGAAGGAGGCACTCATGAAGGAAACAGAATGAGGAGCCAGAGAGGTCAAAAGGGAAACGGGGCAAAAAAAAAAAAAAAAGGGAAACGGGGCGAGGGTAAGAAGCCACAGGTGAAGGGAGTTTCACAAAGGCGGAAGTGGTTATCAAAGCCAAAAGCCATAGAGAGGTCAGATAAGAAAAAGACAAATAAGTGTCTGTTGGATTTGCAAATTAGGAGGTTATTAATGGCCTAGATTAAAATACTCAAGTGGAGTGGGAGGAGGGAAGCCAGGGAAGATCAAAGAATGAATAACAAGTAAGGAAGTGCAGATAATGTGTATAGTCTACTTTTTACAGAGATTTGCCCATGAAAGGAAAGAAAACACAGTGGCTGGAGGGAGAGATGGATACAGGGCAAACTGCATTATTTTGCATGGCTGACATGAGCATGACTGTGGGCCCAGAAGAAGGATGCAGTTGAAAAGGAGAGACTGAAGGAGCAATAGAGATGTCTTAGTCAGTTTGGGCCGCTGTTAAAATACTATGGACTGGGGCTGGCTCAATTGGTAGAGCATGTGACTCTTGGTCTCAGGGTTCAAGCCCCATGTGAGATATAGAAATTACTTAAAAAAAATAAAATCTTTTTTAAAAAAAATACTACAGACAGGGTGGCTTATAAATAACAGAAATTTATTTCTCACAGTTCTGAAGGCTGGAAGTCCAAGATCAGAGTGCAGCATGGTCAGGTTCTGGTGAAGGCCCTCTTGCTGGTTGCAGGCTGCTGACTTCTCGCTGTATCCTTACATGGTGGAAGGGGTGACTCTCTGAAGTCTGTTTTATAAGAGCACTAATCCGATTCATGAGGGGCTTCACCCTCATGACCTACACACCGAAATACCAAAGGTCCCACCTCCTAGTGTCATCACCTTGGGGGTGAGGATTTCAACATGTGAATTTGGGGAGGGGCACAAACATTCATAGCAAGAGAATATGTCATTTGGAAATGCTTCTGTTATAAGTGGCAGAATATCCAACACAGTGGCTAAATGATAAGGCTGTTCATTATCTTGCACAAGAAATCTGGGGTTAGTTCAGTGGTGTCACAGTTCTGGTTAGTGGCTCTGAATTTCTCTTGGCCTTTCCTTTGTGGTCATAAGAAGGTTGTTGCAGCTCTGGGCATTGTGTTCTCTCATAACCATGCCCAAAGATAAAAAGCAGGAAGACAGCCAGGATGGGGAAATAGAACTCTCCTTTTACAAGGAGAAAAAGCATCTTGCCTAGAAGTCATCCAGCACACTTGCCCTTGGGTTTCATTGGCCAGAACTAGGGCATTTGGTATATTAAGATTACATTCACTAGGTGCGCCTGGGTGGCTCAGTCATTAAACATCTGCCTTTGGCTCAGGTCATGATCCCAGGGTCCTGGGATCGAGCCTCGCATCAGGCTCCCTGCTCGGTGGGAAGCCTGCTTCTCCCTCTCCCACTCCCCCTGCTTGTGTTCCCTCTCTCACTGTGTCTCTTTCTGTCAAATAAATAAAATCTTAAAAAAAAAAAAAAAAGATTACATTCACTATACTCATGGAAATACCAAAAAAACAATGGCTTTAAAAGTGTTTATTTCTCCCATATAAATGAATTTTGGTCATAGCAGTCCAAAGCCGGCAGGCATGGCAGCTGTGTTTCACCAAAGTCCTCAGGAATTTGTAGACTTTCTGGATTGCAATTCCTCCTTCCAACTCATGGTCCAAGATGGCTGCCCCAGCTCTAGCTATTGCATCTATATTCCAGCCAACAGGAGAGAGTAAGGGAAAGGAATGTTCCCTTCTCCAGAACACATTTTGGAATTATACATATTATTTCTGCTTACATCCCATAAGCCAATATTTAGTCACAAGGCCACAGTTAGTTGAAGAAAATCTGGGACATGTAGTTTTCATTTAGAATGGCCATGTTCCCAGCTAATGTTCAAGGCTCTGCTACAGAGAAAGAAGAAAACAGACATTGGGGTTCATCTTGCAGGAGGGTGGCTACAGGAGTCTGGGAAAGTAGTTGTTTTTGTTTGTTTGTTTGTTTGTTTGTCTGTTTTCAGCCTCAATAATGAGAAGCAGGCAAGGAAGAATAAAGTTGGAAATGAGAGTTGCTTGAGCTAACCTACTAGGCCTACCTTAGGGAGAATTGACACTTGATGGAGCAAGATCCTGAAGGATCAAGGAAGGGTGGATTCAGAAGTACACATGGATTTACATGTGCACTAGGGTTGAATATATTATGTTTCTATACCATAGATTATAGATTGCATAAATATTTCTATTCTATAAGTGTATATAGAAAACAGAAAGCTCTAATGGATGGTGCTGCTCTAGCCATTCAGGGTTCCATTAGAGAAGGTACCTTCATCTCTCACTACTTTTCCCCCTTCACTCTTGCTCCCCCATATCAAACACCCATCAGGTATCTGGATTTTCAACATAGCAAGAATTAAGGTCATGGGATTTAGAATTCAGTAGGTGTAGCCATTTACTAGCTGTGTAGTCTTGGTGAAATTATTTATCCTCTTGAGCCTCAGATTCTTTGTCTATAAGATGGGGATAATAATAGCATCTATTTCTTAGAGTTGTTTTAAAGACCAAAATGAGATAATATATGTAAAGTACAGGCAGTCCTTGCTTTGCATAGTAGTGTAGTTCTTTTTTTTTTTTTTTTGAGATTTATTTATTTGGGAGGGGAGGGGAAGGGCAGAGGGAGAGAAACTTCAAGCAGACTACCCCTTTGAGCTTGGAGCTTGGAGCCTGTTGTGGGGCTTAATCCCAACACCCATGAGATCACGACCTGAACCAAAACCAAAAGTTAGACACCCAACTGACTGAGCCACCCAGGTGCCCCAGTAGTATAGTTCTCTAAAAATGACCACATGAGTTGCAAAGTGATCTTAAATTTCAATGGGGAAAAATTACAGTTGTGCTGTGAACTTTAAATATTTTTGTCAAAATATTTAAAACTCTTACTATTGGTTTTAAATGCCTAGGGAAGGGGTGCCTGGGTGGCTCAGTTAAGCATCTGCCTTCAGCTCAGGTCATGATCTCAGGGTCCTGGGATCGAGCCCCACATTAGGCTCCTTGCTAGACAAGGAGCCTAAGTCTCCCTCTCCCTCTGCCTCTGCCCCCTGCTTGTGCTCTCTCTCTGTCAAATAAATAAATAAAATCTTAAAAAAAAATAAATGCCTAGGGAAATGAAAAAATTAGTAGACCTAGTATTTATTTGCTATACTGTAATTTAAATCATTAGAAACATTGAGAATTAAATGTTTGGGGTTTTTTTTGGATTTTTTTGGTTTTTGTTTAAAACTTATCAAAAGTGGGGCGCCTGGGTGGCTCAGTCGTTAAGCGTCTGCCTTCGGCTCAGGTCATGATCCCAGGGTCCTGGGATCGAGCCCCACATCGGGCTCCCTGCTCTGCGGGAAGCCTGCTTCTCCCTCTCCCACTCCCCCTGCTTGTGTTCCTGCTCTCGCTATGTCTCTCTCTGTCAAATAAATAAATAAAATCTTTAAAAAAAAAAAAAACTTATCAAAAGTGGGGTACCTGGGTGGCTCAGTCAGTTAAGTGTCTGCCTTCAGCTCAGGTCATGATCTCAGGGTCCTGGAATTGAGCCCCACATCAGGCTCTCTGCTCAGTGGGGAGCCTGCTTCTCCCTTTCCTTCTGCTCCCCCACTCCTGCTCTCTCTCTCTTTCTCTCTCTCTCTATCTCAAATATATAGATAAAATCTTAAAAAAAAAAAACTTTTCAAGAGTAGTTTGAGCAGTGCTCGCCTTTCTGCCATATAACTTACTGTACAGAGTGAACATCTTTTCTGTGCCTTGACAAATTGTCATACTGCTTTCCAGGTTTGGATCAGCTTTCCATATTTTACTCTTTGCAATTTCAACGTCATGAAATATCTTTGAGAATTCCTTTAAGATGAATTTTTCTATTCACGTCTCTTCCCTGGAAACATCTTCATCCTTTTCTGCACAACCACTTTCTGCATTTATGTCCATCAAGTCACCTTTACTAAATTCTTCGGGCTGCATGTCTAGAGTTCCCTAGTGACAGTGTCATCCCACAGCCAGCCCTTTCTTCTATACCTCCATTTACCTTCGATTTGAACTTCATTCTGAAAATTACCGCTTTTTGTTTCTTTGCTACCCTATTGTCTTTCTTGGCCAATTCTCTCTATTATCCATTTCTGTAAATATCACAAGAGTTTTGTAAATATCACCGGGAATTAAGGAGGCATCACAACCTATAGATGCTTTGTCCGTACATAAAATCAATAACAAATGTCCAGTGACCAATCACTGGCTGACTGTCAGGCAAGTGACATGATTGGTCACAGATCACAATTTGGATCCATTATTTGCAGAGTAATTTCATGGATTAAAAAGTTAGCAGCAGAGTTTGTCCTTAGGCAAGTACTCACAGTTAATATACTGTGGTAACAGATATGAACTGTGAATTGGGCTGTTGAGCGCCTGATGAGCGCCTGATGTCATCGAACTAAGCCATGAAAACAGATTTGTGCTGTTGCCATGCAAAGCAAGGGCTATGCTGCTCTGTGTGATGCCTGGCAGGTAGTTAGCACTTAGTAAGCAGTAAACTGTTTTACTTGTATCATCTTTGTCATTTTCATTATATTACTACTGTTTCTACTTTTCCCCCTGAGCCACAGGCCACTGAGGAGTCAGCTGGAGAGAGAGGGGCTGGTGCTGGGAGGTGGCAGACAGTGCTGTGTTTTCAGCCAAGCATGTAAATTACTGTGTCCAAGGGATACCTTAATCTTAACTGAGGATTGAGCCAAGGACTTATTGGCAGAGGTCTGGGAAGGAGTTTTGGGGAGTGCTGGCCTGTGGGCAGGACTCAGCAGCAGAGAGGCGGGGCAGGCAGGGCTCCTGGGATGAAAGAAGCAGATGGTGTCTGAGAGGTCTGTCACAGATCACAGGGCTCCAGCCATGGGTCTTGGCTAGGGCTGTGGCCAAGGCATGGTGGGGGCAGCTGGCAAGAGCAAGCCAGGACTCTAGGCCAGGTAGAGCGTACACCAGTTACCAGAACAGGGAACTGGTACATGAGTCAAGGAAAAAAATACTCATCTGAGTGAGAACGATGGTCTCCAGGTCGAGAGTCAGGTGCAAGCGCAATTGCTGCAGCCCAGGGGGTAGCAGAGAAGAGCCCAGAGCGCCTCCGCTCGGGACGAGAAGGTGACCCATCGTTGAGCCCCATCTGGAAAAGGAGAGGGAACGGAGACTCCTCGAGTTACACTTCCTGCCCCACGTGGGTGACCTTGGAGCCCAGCCCGGGGAGATGGGGCGATAATCGATAATCGAGGCTGTCAGCCTGACCCAGTGTAGTGATTCACTGCTCCTATACAAAGCTTCTTCCTTCCTTTCAGTCTGTTTATCAGCCTTAATAGATTTTATCTAGGACCTTATCTACAAAGCAGTACACTCAGCCAAGGCAGGCCCATTGGGTAAGAAGGAATGATGAACATTTGACTCTCAACTAATAAAAAATAAACACAGAATAATAATGACTCAGATACACACCATGTCAGCTAATGATACCACAAATACAAGATGCCTATAAATCCCATAGGACTGCATTCAGGCATGTAACTGAAACCTGACCAAAGTGACATACCCATGCAATGGTTTGTTTTCTTCATGTGGTTAGATGTTTCAGATCACTTAGTGCGGGGCTGCTCTGGTGACTCCCAGGGCCAGCAGGGACTTTGGCTCTTCCCATGTTCTTGCTCTGTCCTCCCTAACATGTACAGGGCTGCTGAATCAGACAGATGAATGAGTCAGATGGTAAACTTGGGGTCATTAGCCCCCTGTTCCCTTAGTGTGGGTCAACACCGGCTGCTCCTCTTGGGTAGCCCTGTCCATTCAGCTACTTTCCCACTCCTAGTAACTCCTCCCGTGCCTTACCCTTCAGGGTTACAGGTGGTCATACCTCCCTGCAGTTGCTAACACCCTTATTGCAACACTCGTAACCATGTTTCCTTAATACAGACCTTTTCAAAGAGTGCCTTTTTGCAGAGTCGCCACCATTAGCCTTTTGGAGTGAGCCGTCCATATCCTGCCAGGACCCTGACCGATTCAACACCATAATCTGTGCGTAGCTGGTGTGGCCATATGCAGCAGCACAGTGTGGCCCTTTCAACCCCAGAGCTGCAAGATGGATAGTCTACCTCCAGGCATCAAGGTTGGATTTCAGACAGGAAGAAATGGCAAAAGGCACCAAACGGCTCTTTGCCAGGAAAACAATAGCTTTTTAGGAAGTGACAGACAGCAGGAGGTGAGTATTTGTAACTGGACCATTGCTGCCTCCAAATGAAAGGGTGTTCAAGGGAAGAAGCAGAGAGGGGTATTAAGTAGGCTACTGGCAGTGTTTGCAACAGCATATCACTCTTTTGGACTTTTTAAGAAAAAGTTACAAATAGCTTACTGTTATAAGTCCTTTCCTTAGTTCATACTTTGAACTAGGGGTATCTTTATCTGACAGTAAAAATACAGTAGTCCCCCCTTATCTGCAGTTGTGCTTTCTCAGCTTTCTGTTACCCTCTGTCAACAGAGTCGGGAAGTGGATAATCCCCCTTGTGATGCTGGATGGGCATCCTTCACGTCACTTCGTCCACCTCGTCTCATCACGTAGGCATTTTGTCATCTCACATCATCACAAGAAGGTGAGTACAATGAGATCTTTTGAGAGAGAGAAAGAGAAAGAAAGACCACGTTCATATAGGTTTTATTTCAGTATATTGTTGTGTTGTATTTTATCGTTATTGTTGTCTAATATGTAAATTACACTTTATTATTGGTATATATGTGTAGCAAAAAAACATAGTATATATAGAGTTTTGGAACTATCCATGGTTTCAGGCACCCACTGGGGGTCTGGGAGTAGACTCTCCACAGACAAGGCGAGATAACTGTGATAACTTCCATGTATTGAGCCCTTACTGAATGCTTTACATGAACGATATCTTCTTCTTTTTTTTTTTTTAAGATTTTATTTATTTATTTGAGAGAGAGAATGAAAGACAGAGAGCACGAGAGGGAAGAGGGTCAGAGGGAGAAGCAGACCCCCCGCTGAGCAGGGAGCCCGATGTGGGACTCGATCCCGGGACTCCAGGATCATGACCTGAGCTGAAGGCAGTCGCTTAACCAACTGAGCCACCCAGGCGCCCATGAACGATATCTTCTAACCCTCACCAGGAGGTTCCCCACTCTATAGCTGTGGAAACCACAGGTGAGTGGTTTTGAGTGATGTGTTCAGTATAATGTCTGAGCTAACAGTTGGGTGTGTCTGTCTGTCCCCAGACCCCTTGCTGGCAGCCACTGTACTTCTCAGAGTGTCCCTTAAAACCTGCATCTCTTTGTGTTCTCATTTCTTCCCCAGGGAAGAGCCTGTGCGCACAATGTGGAAATCTAGGTCATGGGTAATAAGCCTCTTGCATCCTTAGAACATGGCCCAGGGCGCCTGGGTGGCTCATTTGGTTTCACAACTGCCTTCAGCCCAGGTCATGATCCTGGAGTGCCAGGATTGAGTCTTGCATCGGGTTCCCTGCTCAGCAGGGAGTCTGCTTCTCCCTCTGGCCCTGCCCCCCCATGGTCTCTCTCTCATTCTCTCTCTCAAATAAATAAATAAAATCTTAAAAAAAAAAAAAAAAAAGAACATGGCCGCCTAGAAATAAAGGAGAGAGAGAATCCCAAGTTGGAGACAGTAGGGCAATGAGCAGAGGGATTTGGGTCCAGATGGAAGCCAATATGAATAGCAAGCAGAGCCTATGAAAACAACAGAATTCTTATTTCAATTATGAGCCCCCTCTGGGGTACTTTGGTTGTCATACTCTCTGAACCTACTTAGCCACCAGCTCTCACACTGGGTCAGGCATTCTGCTAAGTGGATGAGAGATGCAAAGGGAGAGAAAACCTGGTCTTTGGAGGAAACTGGAGTAAGCAGGAGTCAGCTTGGAGGGCTTCCCACCGCAATGCTTTGGGACACATCTGACTGACTGTCCCACTGCTCCTGACAGCACATGATTCTGGAAGGACAGGAAATTGTTGATATTTTTGCTCATGTGAGGGCCATGAGGATTAGAACAGGAGTGCTCAGAGTGCACTCTGTGTTGCCTCTGAACCTTCTCACTTCCCGCAGGCGGTCCATGGATCAAATGGACCTGCTGCAACCAGAGATAAATACATGACAACTACGTCTGTTAGCTAAAACGTTGGGTGAAGTTGCGCTTTATTTTATTTTATTTTTTTTAAAGATTTTATTTATTTATTTATTTGAGAGAGAGAGAGAGAGAGAGAGAAACAGCATGAGAGGGGAGAGGGTCAGAGGGAGAAGCAGGCTCCCTGCTGAGCCGGGAGCCCGATGTGGGACTCGATCCCAGGACTCCGGGATCATGACCTGAGCCGAAGGCAGTCGCTTAACCAACTGAGCCACCCAGGCGCCCTGAAGTTGCGCTTTAAAACAGAGTATACTGGGTGCCTGGGTGGCTCAGTTGGTTAAGCGACTGCCTTCGGCTCAGGTCATGATCCTGGAGTGCCAGGATTGAGTCTTGCATCGGGTTCCCTGCTCAGCAGGGAGTCTGCTTCTCCCTCTGACCCTCCCCCCTCTCATGTGCTCTCTCTCATTCTCTCTCTCTCAAATAAATAAATAAAATCTTTAAAAACAAACAAACAAACAAACAAAAAAAACAGAGTATACCTCCTGGGAGTAAAGAGAAAAGAGGAATAGCATAATGTCAAGCCTGCTTCAAAGAAAAATGGCGTATTTCCTGGATGGTATGAGGGCTTTAGGATAGGGGTATGTAAGGGAACACCGCCAGGGCAGCGGATAAGTCCATACGAACAGTGCCTGGATGCTGAAGGCCCGCCAAGTGAAGAATGCAAAAGCCCTGGATGCAGTTTCACCCTTAGAGTTGTAGCCAGAGATCCTAGTATTTGAAGCATGCCTCAAGTAAGAAACAGGTGAGAACTGCCGATGAGAATTCCAGTCTGGGCTTCATCACCAACTTGCTCTGGGAGCTGGGGACATTAGCATGCTCAAAGCCTCCATTTGCTGATCTGCAAATTGGGGCAAACAACATCTCTGTTCAACTTACTGAGAATGTTATGAGAAGAAAACGAAATAGAAGATGTGAAGATGCTTTGTCAGTGTTCAGAATTCTACACAAAGGGAAGCTATTCCAGATATTCCCACTCTCCAAGTTCAAGTCTGAAAAAAAAAAAAACCAAACAAACCCACTAAACCCTTTAGAGCTACACCTTTCAATACAGTAGCCACTAGGCACACTGGCTGTTGAGCATTTAAAATGTGGCTAGTGCAACCGAGGAACTAGCTTTTAAATTTTACTTAGTGTTAATGAATTTAAGTTGAAGAACTGATACTTGATTCATTATTGGAAAGCTTTTAAGTATGCTTGGAACAGCCTGAGTATGTGAACCTAATTTTTAAACTGCAAATTATATGAAATCTAAATACATATCAATTGTTTCTGATGAAATTTAGTATTTGAATTGACATGTGCTACAAGCATAAGATACACACCAGACTTCAGACTTAATACAAAAAACAATGTATCATTACATGCTGAAATCATATTTTGTATATATTGGGTTAAATAAAATATATCATTAAAATTAATTTTACCTCCTTGTACTTACCTTTTCCTTTTTCTTTTACTGCTCAGCCGAGTGCCTGGCACATGGTTACTCTCTTTCTCTTTTTAAAAGTTTGTTTATTGGGGCGCCTGGGTGGCTCAGTCGGTTGGGCGTCTGCCTTCGGCTCGGGTCATGATCCTGGGGTCCTGGGATCTCTGCTCGGCGGGAGGCCTGCTTCTCCCTCTCCCACTCCCCCTGCTTGTGTTCCTGCTCTCGCTGTCTCTCTCTGTCAAATAAATAAATAAAATCTTTAAAAAAAAAAAAGTTTGTTTGTTTGTTTGTTTATTTATTTATTTAAGTAATCTCTACACCCAACATGGGGCTGAAACTCACGACCTGAACGCTCTTCCGACTGAGCCAGCCAGGTGCCCTGTCTTTGTACTTATCTTAAGGTGACTACTAGAAAATTTTAAATTACAGGGTGGCCTGCATTATATTTCTATTGGGAAATGCCACTTAAAAAGAGCCGGTGAGTAGAGGGATCCTCATTTCCTTATAGGAGCTAAGGGGAGAGGTTGCAGAAGTAAATTTTTTTATCCCAGGCAAAGTACTGGCACAATTTCCTGGGTTTCTGAGAATCAATAGCAGAAAGAGAACAGCCCAGAGCTGGATGGGGTTGACTCCCTGCCTGATTCCTTTCCATGTTCAGGCTCAAAACACACCATCTTAAAAACTCCTATTGCTATCATTGCCTTGGTGAAATGAGACCATAGCTGTTAGCTGGGCTTTAATTTGGGGACCACAGCACTTTAATGACTGGGGGATTTCAGGAGAAACTTGTGGCTAATTTGAGATTCTGAAAATCAGTATGAACTTCTTTTTTCCACTTCTGCTCTTTCAAAGTTTACCCTAGACCCAGTGCATGGTGGAAATCCACCCTCCAAGCATTTGCTTTTCTCCGGTTTTGAATCTTTTCCTCCAGAGCTGCCTTGTTTTCGAAATGATTTGCATGCAGACTGCTGGAGGAGGATGCCAGAGGAAGTCCGGCCATGCAAGCCAGCCTGCCAAGCACATCTGGAAGTGGTTTCAGGGGCTGCCTCACCCCAGCAGCCAGCGCAACGCGCCTGATTCCCAACTCTCCCAGCTGCTCCGCGCAGGAGTGGAAGAAACCCGAGCCTCTCCAAAGTCAACGCAAGCAAAGGGTGGGGGGGTGTTGGGGGCAGGGGGAGGAATACTCTCTTGGAAATGTAATATTGGCCTTGGGGCTCTCCAGCCCTGTGGGCTTTCCAGTGGGATCTTAGAAGCAGCCGAAGCAGCGTGAAGGGCAGCAACCCCAAGCCAGCCAGGAGTTGAACACTCTGCCCTACAGCTCTTCTGGATCGAGGAGCCCAAAGCCCTGCCCTCACCGTTCACCAGGTAAACAGAAATTGATGAGCAGTGTGGCAGTCTTTCCATTCTTCCCTGCCCGCCTGCAGCAGCCCTTTGTTTTGCTGTAGACTCAAGAATGTAAATCAGAAGTGGATTGTCCCACATGAACTTCGCCTTCAGGAGCTCCCAGCCAATGTTTGTAGCATGCCGAGGCAACCATTTTTCTTTTTTCCTTTTTTTTTTTTTTTTTGCCATTGCAGCAAATCCAGGATACTCTGTGCAAGTTTTTTGCATGCTAGACTGCTTTTCCAGACCTGGGTTTAACTCTCCTGACCAGTGTGATTTACTATTTTCATCATACTTTAAGCATGGAAGTCATTGGTAAGCTAGGACGTGGATAAATGCGAGTATTTAAATGCAGGTACATTTCTGAGCCACAAAAGATTTACTTGAGCTGTGATTCATGTTTTCAGAACCTGAAAAAAAGACTCGGTAGTTGTGGAAATCTAAATGGGGCTTATAAATGCAGTAGTTGTCGTGTTTGGGTTGAAAATGCTTTCTTAACATTCAAAAACTATTACGTTCACTTTAGGAGCAAATGTAGGACCTTGGATAAGCCTGATAGATAACTTATGATAGGAGTTAAGAAGGAATAGTTAACACAAGAGTAAAAAGAAGGAGAAGAAGAAAACAT